ACATAAAAGTGTCCATGCTCAATGATGGTTTGTTACTTGAGATCCGATACAAAGAGAGAGAGAGGGAGAGAGAGAGAGAGAGAGAGAGAGAGAGAGAGAGAGAGAGAGAGAGAGAGAGAGAGATATATATCTATCTATCTATATATATATAGCGAGAGAGAGAAAACAAAAGAAAGAGAGGCTAAAGAAACATCGAGGTAAGTTGAGCGAAAGGTGAGGGGCAATGCGGTTTGGGTGTGGGGTTTTGTGGGGTTGGGGCGGGCAAAAATGTTACAAAAATATGTTTACTCGGGTGAGTTGATTCTAGCCTGAGCTGCGTATCAGTTTCACTGTTCGTTACAGTTTGCACTTCTTAAGAAAATATGAGTGACATCGTGGTGAAATCAGGCGCTCGTCCCAATGATAATATGGAAGAAACCGACATTTTTCCGCCTGCTGGGTAATTTTTATCGAATTTTTTGGTTTTGAGCTCAACACCTACTGTGTCTATTAAAAACCCAACCCCAAAACAACAACACATTCCTGGGTTGATTTTACATTTTACGGATAAAAGGTTGATTAAAGGCACAACAAATTTCATTTGCGACTTCCAAGGATACCAAAGCTTTAAGAAATCACGCCTACACTTCCGCGCTAATTTTACCTTTGACACCAGGCGATCCCCGCCTCCTTAAACCACAGTATTATCCGGTTTTCATTATCGACGTTTGGCGACGGACAGAATTAGCCGGTTTTCATAATCGGCGTTTGGCGGCTGGTAGAATTGGCCGGTTTTCTTATTCGTAATTTTGTCGGGGTAAATCAGAAGTCTGCTCTTTAGCGCTGTATCTCGAAAGGTAAACGCACAAGGGACGTACGAGGCATGAACAGGGAGGGAAGGTGGGGTGCGTGAGTAGTAGGATGGGGGACTGAGTGCTCATCCACTCACTCGCCTCCGCCAAACGATACACAGAATGCACGGCCAGAGCTCACAGCAGGAGCGACGCTCCAAACCCGCATCGCATTCTTGTCTGGGAGGGCGCTGAGTTCAAACCTGGGATGATTTTGTAGGAAAGAAAAGGGAAGGTAGGAGAGAATACTGTGACGGTGAACATAGCCAACATAATATTGAAATATGAAAACAATAATGGAAAGGAGTAGTATTGATAAATGGCAGAAAGAGGGGTTG